TCCGACGTTGTGTCCTCGGGAAAGGCACTTTGCACAAATTTTCCACACTTCACCCAGGTGGAAATGGGTACCCGGCTATAGACCGTGAACGATCTTGTCTAGTGTCTGAGCGCTTGAAATCCGCAACTTGCACTGTGTGCTTCCGCTGAAGCCGAGAATGTTTCCGAGAGTTCTGCTGGGGTAATAATACATTGTAGTTGTAAAGCGCATAGAGCATGCTCTTGAGCACGGATATGCGCTATATAAATGCAATTCTTATTATTGTCTGACATTTTTGACCGTTTTGAGGTTCTAAGACTTTAAGACCATGGGGTAAGAAACCAAAGGCTCTACATGTATGATGTATCTACTCTTTAAAAATCGTAAGTTTATTCGGAGTTGTTATCAAGATGTTTAAAGAACTGCAATCGAAAAAGCTTGACATGTGAAACTAAAACTTTTTTACGTTAAATTTGTCAAAACTAGGTGCTGAGCTGATATAACATTGTAATTCTTAAGCAGAGATGCTTCAAAATTCGAGGTTTTCAGAAGCAAACCTTTTTTTATTTTTACCACGGGGAGTCCGGTCAGGACAATATCTTAATATGTACAAAATGATTAAATCATCTAAATACGTAATTAATTTTATTTTAACTTATTTTAAGTAACAGGAATGAGTCTAGGATCAACTGATGCGCCTCATCAATTCCCGTTAGGCATCTGATTTTCATTTTTTTCCAAACTTGACTTACTATTAAATGACGACAACAAAACACTTTATACTTTATGTGTCCTGTCTTCCCCAGGCATGTCCACGTATCTGATCAAGCCAAGTTGCGTTTTTATGTATTATTTTGTTGTTGTCGTGTAATATTGTCATTTTGTTATGTTGTTTATTTGTTTTACAAGTGTTCCATTAATCTTGCCCATATCCTTTTTGTGTCAAGGACAGAATATCCACATTTAAAATACATGTTGCAGGAGTTATCAAAGTGGTAAAGCTGCGCCAGTGCCTGAATTCAATCTCATTATCCCTAGTAGAGCGACGTATACATTTACACACAACTTTGTCTAGCAGACTGATGTCTGTGGTGTGGCAGTTAGGCATTCTGTCGTTCCACACAGGAGCCCAAGTTCAATTCCCCGAGTGGGGAGGATTTTTATCAAGTGTCTCTGTCTCAGTCTTCCTACTTTCTGCTGAGATTTTGTATCCCTCTCAGCCCTGGTTCGTCTGGACAGGCAGGGTTAAAGCCCACTTACTAAATGATCTAAATTGTTTCAATGATGGCGTAAAAACCTCTGTATTTTTTATTTTTTTAAAAATATTTATCAGTATTCATAATTTTATGCAGACTGAGCGTCACAACGTTTTTGCACTTTTCACAAAATCTTAAACCTTGCAGTTACAACACTCTGCCTCTGGACAGCAGTATTACAGTGCTTACATTTACTAATTTGTGGAGGTGAAGATTTGAGGTGTTACAAGAGAGTAACATACAAAGAAAAGAAGGAGGAGAAATAGAAACAATAAGAAAAAAGGAGCAAACCACACCAGAGCATCACACGGGCAGTATTGCATACAGACGGAAGTCATTTTCTTTGAGATCCATTGTGTCCTTGCAACCAGAACAAGAATACACAAAAGACTCCAACATTGCACAATAATTTTATTGCCGTCCAGTCAGTACACAGAATATATCAATATCCTACACATACAGACTAAAGACTCCATACAGAGAGCCATTAGAAATATGTAAGCAAAAAACCAAAAAAAGTGAGAACATTCTTCAGCATTTATCCAGACAAAAACAACAACAAACATTCTCGAATGTTACGACAACAAACATTCATGAATGTTACAACCGAGAAAGAAAGCTACGAATGAACTGAAGTTCCGAGTAAATATAGCCAGAGTGTAGTCTTAATTCTCTATCACATTTCTAGTACTAGTAGTCCAAACATTGAAGTACCGTAATATCCAAAGATAGTCACACACAAAAATTTAACCAAACTTAAAGCCAGTCATTTCCCACAGTGAACCAGAGAAATATGGTGTTTGTATGTGTGTGTGTGTGAGTGACATTGTCAGTCTGTCATTTACTACACATTAAATGTCAACGACAGGTATCAAAACATTTTATTCTTTCTTTTTATCAGCCATTCTATGGCTCAACACAACTGTACTAACTAATTCAGCTAATTTGTAAGTCTTAAGGCGTAAGCTCAATCGACTCATGTGTCTGGAAAGCTAAATAAAGTACATCACATTCATTGAAACGTAGACTATAAATTATACAAAAACAACCCTCCCTCAAAAAAATGTTTCATCACATGACAGTCTTGGAACATTGTTGCTACATCATTATTGGAATGAATCACAGAGTGAGTGTGTATTGAGGGGAGGTTGGAGATTGTGGGGGAAGGGAGAGATTATAAAAAAAGAGTCCCCCGTCTCCCTCTTCGCCATCACGGAGAGATGAGCTCAGTTCTCAGTTGTGCAGAATGGTGTCAAAAGCTTGCTGGATAAAGGAATAGATGTCCTGCACGCGAGACTTGAGGGACAGCTGAAAAAAGGAAACACATCAGTTAGTGAGGGAATTATAAAGAGGCATTTGAAGCCTTGAAGCTATACATCTGTGCATTGCATGACTGTTACGCTTCATTCCTTATCTTATGCTTTGTATGTAAAATATATGAATAATCTGGAAACAAACAAAAAAAGGAAGAAAAGGCGAAAAAAAAGTTTTTAAGAGACAAAGAAAAGGAATAAAAAACAAAACATTTTTTAAAAACCTGAGTAGGTATGTATTATGCATATCCTGGAGACAAAAAGAAAAGGAAGAAATAAAAAAGGAGAACAAAAAAAGCAAGCAAGAAAGAAAACAGGAACGAAGATTTTTGACATACTTGAAACCTTCCTTTACATTAGCAGGTAAAAATTATAAATATTTTGGAGACAAAAGAGAATATAAGACACCCCCCCCTCCCCCTCCCACAAAAAACCCTTAGAATAAAGATCACACAAGAACACCCCCCACTCCTCCCCCCGCCACAACTCACAGTGAAGCTGGTCATGCCCGGCTGTATCTTGAGCTCGGCCAACACTTTGATGCCGTTGGTCAGGGCCAGCGACTGGTACAGCATGTCCTGCCCCTCCACGTTACGCTTGGCGATGGTGAAGATGTTGTTGTTGCGCAGCTTCTGCGACACAGTGTCTGTCGGGGAAGCAATCAACAGAACAAATATACAGATAAGAACCAAAAAAAAGGGATACAAATCTTAACTATACTGGTATGGACAGAGTTGTGTTGTTCAACAAAAATTCATACTATAATCATGTCTTATACTAAACACCATCATCCAGGAACACCAACACACCCATGTACACACACCCACACATTCCGACATACTCACACACACACACACACCTGACCTGCATTATGCTGTACATTGGTGACCGAGGGCCACAAGCACCCACCCACACATACCCAAGCATTCACTCACCCACCCACACACACCCGAACTCACTCACTCACTCACCTATACACACCAAACATACCCACATACCCAAACACTCACTCAGCCCCCCCCCTCCCCTACACACACACACACACACCTGCATTGAACTGCACATTGGTGATTGTGGACCACACGCACCCACCCACCCACACCTAAACATTCACTCATCCACCCACACACACCCGAACTCACTCACTCACTCACCTATACACCACCAAACATTCCCACATACACACATACCCAAACACTCACTCACACTCCCCCTCCCCATACACACACACACACCTGCATTGAACTGCACATTGGTGATTGTGGACCACACGCACCCACCCACCCACACCTAAACATTCACTCATCCACCCACACACACCCGAACTCACTCACTCACTCACCTATACACCACCAAACATTCCCACATACACACATACCCAAACACTCACTCACCCC